CCTCAAGCATGTATTTTCATTAGGGTTAAGGGTCATAAGGGAAATATTGGGTCTGTGAGAAAACAGAAGGGTGACGTGGAGATCAGTCCTTTCCTTTACTGGAAAAATGGTCTGTTTTTAAAGGGTGAACGAACAAGACAAGGCAAAAAGAAAGCGCACACTTTTTTTTCTTTCCACCAACACTTCACAATTTCATAGTTTTCCATTAAAAAAAAACAAAACCAAAAAATAGATCCAATCTTGGGGAGGAGGGTGGAGCGGGGGAAGGTGGCTATTCAGAAAGAAATACAGAAATAGAGCAGCTTGTTAATTTCCTCCTGTAAGCTGTTTTGGGCATCTATTCATATACATATACACATAAATCACATACACACACACGCACTTTATTTTTTCCTTCTGTTCTTGCTTGAACCTTTCCTGGAAGAGCTTTATGTTTCCAAGTTTGAGAACCACTGCAAAAAATCATTATAATGAAAGAGTGATATATTAATTTAATAGACTGCTGACTGGGACAACCATGGGCTACCAAGATAAACTTACCCTAGGGATGTCCAGATACGTTTTTCTTTATATGTCCATTTACATGAATTATTTGCACTGCACACGCTTTTAGTCTACTAAAAGAAACAGATAATGTGAATGGAATATAACATTGTCACAGAATAATGGTCTCTTGCTGCCAAGAGAAGAAAAAAAATATTGAAAATGAATACTGAGGTGATGTTACCAAGTTTATTTTCAAAGTGGGAGACAATTAGGTTGCAACAATGTTGCCTTCTGCTGGTATTCTTTCTATTATGACAAATGAAGACAAAGTAAATAAAATAAGATGGATGGATATTGCTGATGTGGAGTGACAGTTACTCACTGTGCCATATTGAAAGATTACACCCTTATTGGCCTAGATTTCATACAGTGACAGTCATACATCAGTAATGATTAGGTAATCTAACAATCTAATGCACAGTCTCAGCTTTTTACAGCTAAAATTATATTGGGACAATAGCACATGTATACTTAAGGCTTAAAACAACTATTTGCAAAAGCAGTCAGCTCCTGTTCAGACACCTGAATGAAGTGCTCAACATGCAGCAATTCCCATTGTTCTGACTACTTATTTAGGTGCCTGAATTAGAGCTGTTACATATTGAGTTCTTTTGAGTATCTAACCCTATTTATAAATGAACCGTAAATCCATAATATGCACTACTTCAACTCAGTGGTATGTTTTGTAACTACTTCCCTGTCTTTTAGGGTGTATGGAAGAGCACTGATTTACACTGTCAACAATTCTGTTTCTCGTTCATCAATAGTCAGTAACTAGAATGATGTTACTATGTATTTTTAAGCCTAAATACTGCTGGGGTAGTCTTCTAGGCAGGGAGATTCATTCCACAAGAAACAAGATAAAGATATATATAGATATATAAAGATATATATAGCTCAAGAAAAAAAGATATACATATGCTCACTAAGGCAGCTAAGGGATAAACCCAAACTATGCAGATGAATCCTGTACTCCCTCCCCAAGACAGTGAAAGGAATGATCACTACCCTCTGAGTGGGGAGCATGGGGTGCATAAAGTGTTTATGAACTTAGTTCTCTCCAGAGCACTTGTGTAGAACCAAGTATAACCTGAGCCAAATTGTTCTAACTGCCTTTATTCCGCAGACCATTAGTGATTTAGAGACCGGTGCGAGACTCCAGCAGAGCTGCACTGGAAATTATATGGTCAGAAATGTACACCATTACATTTGACAGGAAAGAATAAATAATTCTGTCAAAAAGCTCTGTAATTTTAATTGAAAGGTCATAGAAAAGCATCAGCCCAATGACAGTATTGTTAGTACAGTATTTAAATGATAGTTTAGCTGAAATTAGTTAATCATGGGTACTGAATATATACAAAATCACAATTAGGCAGCTATTTTCACACTTGAGGCACACAATTCTCTGTGTTAGTCAATGCAGCAGAACTCAATAAAACACTATCACTCGTATCTAATATGATGGTATTTATGCACAAGTATGGTTTTCAATAACATTTTCAGCTGCTTCAAATTAATTCTACCTTATTCATTCAGTTTGCCAAAGTACTGTAGAGGATAACTCTTTGATATTAATAGTAATGGAGATGCATTGCATCTGACAGTGCTAACAACATGTTTAATAGAATACATTACATTTAAGTAGATTAAGGATATGAAGTGAATGCTTTTAAAAAAAAATCCAGTGTTTCAGAAAACAGCTGTCTTTGAATGATAGTCTCTGTTGTCATTTTCTACATTTATCTCCTTCTCTATATTATTTTTCCTTTTAATTTGATTTTATATATATTCTCACGAGGTATTAACAGGATTCAACTCTTTTGCATTTTCTTTAGCTATTAGTAAAACATTTTTTATATCCAATGACTGTCTATTAATGAAGTCAATAGTTTACTGTTGTTTATAAATGACTGAAGCGTAATAAAAATGTCATTTTTAGGTGTATTTCACAAAAAGAAATAATAGGAAACATATAATGTCAGATCCTTAGAGTCTATTAGAGTGGAGCACTTTTATTATTTCTTAAAGAGGGGCTACATGGTTTATTTTTATGCATTTCATTAATCCAATTGTGCTCTTCTTCAAAGCAAAGGCAATTTTGCCACTGATGTGGGAGGAACAGAATTAGGCCTTATACCTTTCTTTCCTGCAACTGAATTTTTCATTCAAGTTCTCTCTCATACATACACAAAGGAAATGATGCAACCATTTTACACACACACACACACACACACACACACACACACACACACGTTAGAGTACAGTGCTCGCTTTTGCTTCTATAACTATTTTTAGAAAACTTGTATCCAAGAGGTACATATTGTAAGGTTTTATATGTGATGAAAGCAATTTACAATTGTGACTAAGTTTATTAAAAATACATTCAAAATGTAATATATTTGTTGCAGCTGTTTCTTTAAAAACAGACAGAATGACCTGCATGTTTTAATTTTAAGAGTGTAGAATTGCCAATCTAAAACCTTTTATTCAATGGAGCAATATTTTGAGATTATTATAGCTCGCGGCATGTTGTGGCAATTTAATAAGATTCTTTTTTTTCAGTTATGTGAAGTTTTTAAAAAAAAATGTAATAACCAAAAAGTTACCCAGTGATATATATCCTTTTCTCCCTGAATTCTCTTTCAACAATCAAACTGCTAACTTTCAAAGCATCTTCTGGGATTCTTAGTACAAATAACCAGGGTACTAAACATTACAAATGCCCGATAGCTATTTAGCAGTTATATCAAATACATCAGTTTTTTTGCAAAGCATTCTCTGGCCATCCGTTTCACTTCATGGTCACTCTTATCCTCACAGAGGAAGAATGCGTCCTACATTGGGTATTTGCAGTTTAAAATGGTAGAAAATTTTCAGATACCAGTTAGGAAAACACAGCAATTGTTTCCAACATGCACGAACATTATCTTGGTTGAATGCTAGAACCACAAAAAGTAGACAAGAGAAACCACTAACTTCCGACATTTAAAAAACTTTTAAATCTATTAATAATTCAATCTGTTCTTTAAAATTTATGCTGAAATATTTTATTAGTTCAACACACATTCACTTCCTGTTTATGAGACTAGCTGATAGCAACATACAAGCTTTATATAAAATAACTCTTCTTGGACCCAATCATGGTAGGAGTTGAGTACTTCTGGAAAAGTTTGCCCTCAGTACCATATGAAGCATCTACCAGGAAGGACCTGTCACCTTGTAGAATCAAACTCTGACATTTTCTAACTTTTCAGCAATTGAGAGTGCTCGTAGGAGGTTCTACCTTCACAAATGCAGAGGTCCCTCGGTTCATGAGAAAGGTTTCCATGTGGGGTAGGGGAGATGAATTCAGAGATCTCAAAAGGAGGATCCACCTTCAGCACAGAGCAGAACCTGGTACAATGAGGGCTGCTTCTGTGCTACTTCAGAAAGGGCAAAAGAGATGTGACACTCAATTTATTGCTATGATCCAGCAGCCATACATGGAGTGAATGGACAGTTTGTGGACTGAACTCAGTCATAGAACTGCAGCAACTACCACTGAGGTACCATTTAGAGCTGTGTGAAATTTTGCCAATGTTTCGTTTCAAGGCTGTTTCGACTCGTTTTGAGCTTGATACAGTAAAACTGAAATGCAACGAAAGGCTTTGAAACAGCCTTGAAACAAGGGCACTTGAAACGTTTTGGAAGTTTAGAAACATTTCGGGTTTCAAAGCTGGGTTTGCTTGTAGGGAAACAAAGTAAGGGGAGGGGGGAAGAGTGGGGAAGGACTGCACTGATATTGACATGTGTAGCTGGCCAGTGACTGTGATCCTTCCTTGAGGTCCCTTCCAATCCCAGTGCTCTGGGGAAGGGACAGAAAAACAGCTGTGCCTTAACACATACACAAAGTCACACATCACAAGTTTTGCTTGTCAGCAACTTGAAGTGCAGTTTCCCAGAAAACCCTGCACCTATCTCCTTGAAACTTGGCAGGCTCTGTGGTCTCAGAGGGGGCTACCATCCCTGCAAGTTTCATCTGAATCAGGCCAGAAATGACAAAGTTATAGGCAGCTTTGTGCTTCCCCATTACAGCAAAATGTCAAAACAGCACTGAAACAGCGAAACAGTTTCGATGAAACAAAACAGAACAGTGCTTTCGAAACTAAACAAACCTTGAAATAAAACACTGTCCCATTGAAATGACAGTCAAAACGAAATGGTGCTGGAAATGGTGTCATTTCGCACAGCCCTAGTACCTACTTACCATAAAGGAACTCTATAGCCTACAATGAGGAAAGAATCTAACTCCATATCCCCTTGTACCAAGCACATGCATATTAGCTGGGTGCTGGAGGGCAGATTTGCATCTTTCATGAGTTTCAAATCTTACTACTTTTTCATTTGACAAATAAGAATTCACATCTGAAGTCTTAGCTGTAATAGAAGGGTAGTTTCCATGCATACTGTACCTGCACATCATTGGTATTCATCCTTGTTCCCTCTTTCCCAACAAAGATGTCATCTATGTCAACAAGAATGTACCTATCCAAGGACAACGTGAGCTTCTTCCCAGACAGGAAAGAGACCGCATCTACAAAGATCAGCTTGTGCAGCCAGAAGTTCAAGTTGTTGCCGAAGACGACTCGCTGAATCCCATCATGCAGTCCTGCATCATGCACTACTGTGGCATAGAGAGCACTTTTAGCAACAGGTGGTGGAAGGTTTTCTGGTGCCTTTACTTTTGCAAATATCACAGGCTGATAGGCTGAGTGATTAATTTGGAATACTGTCCAGTCATTTCCAGGCAAGGGGCCTTTATCAAGCTTTGATGATTTAGTCACATGAAGCAATGGAGAATGAGGATTAATACAACAGTCTTTAACACCTAGATTGCTGTGAACATGAAAAGAGAAACCCTTCAACTGAAAGCTCTGCAAGCTGTTCTCACTGCCTCTATAAAATCCAATGACACC